AAAAAAAAAAAAAAAATATATATATATAGACACTTATATAAAGCCATTTGCAATTCCCTGGTATTCCCCAAGAAGCGGGAGCATCCCACTGCGCTGCCAGCACCCGGGGACACGGCGAGCCAGGCCTGCGCGGGGAACACCTTTGTCTCCCTTTGGAGGGCCAAGAAATAATTAGAAGTCAACCGCATTTTGGCAAGTAACCTTTGGTTGACGACAGGAACGCATTTCAACAGGCACGAGATAACAGTTTTCCTTCCCCCCCCCCCTTATCGAGTAGGACGCCGGTGCTTTACAAAAAGAAGTACTTGTGTTTATCACTGGAGACATTTTAGAGCCAAATGCCCTTATTCACAGCGCACAACACCGGCACGCAAATAGTCATCCGTAACACCTTTGACTGTGATCACGAACAAAGAACACCTTATTGCTTTTCGAAATATTTTTACCTTTCAGTCTCACCTTCCGCTCCATCCTGGGCTCTTTCCTAGTCGCAGAGAAGACTCCTAAATTAAATTACTGTGCTTCTCACAGTTGGTCTCCCACCTCCACCGAGCACTTTGAGATCTTTGGATGAAAGGTGCAATCTATTTTAAGTGCAAAATACTACGTATGAATTCAAGCTCCATACGGGACATGACAGGTCCAGTAAAGTCGTCGTGTTTGGTCTCCCCACCTGTATCACTTTCCAGCCACGGGAGTCAAACAGGAATGACAGGGAAGAAACCAAACCTGGAACAAAGTCCGACCACTTTAATATAGTTCAAATATACACTACAAACTATTTAATGTATAAAAAGCAACATTAAGAAGAATTTTGCTTTTTATACACGCTCATATTACACGCTCAAAATTGGGAAATACCAGAATTAAGGCCGCCTGTCCTACTGCCAGCCACATCACCAATCTCGAACAGTCAGACCAAACATTTGTGCCCTTACAGACTCTCACACTACAGGCGTTTCACAACAACCCTCTCTAAATGCCTTTTTCACTGGCGCTCCTCCCGCCCCGCGTGGCCGACAAACTCCGCTCAGCTTCCCCAAGCGCTCCTACAAAGTCGCCCAATGGGGAACAAATGTTAACGTGACAACGCTATTTTAAGGAGCCACTATGTTGTTTTTTAGTTTTTTTTAACACGCCACCATTTCATAGCAGCAATATTGCCGTAGTTGCAACGGTCTCATCATACAGGGGACATGTGCGTCTCATCTGCAGAACACCAAGTCTCACAACCCAAGACAAACA